GGGGCAGAGGTCGTGGGAATTGCACTGAGGCCCAGGCAGGTAATGACTGGACTTGGCAGGAAGGGCAGAGCAATTTTGAGTGGTACCCATCCGTGAAGTGGGTACAGCAGCCTCTACTTTGCTGGGCTGTGGACATGCTGGAGGGACAGCATGAAAAAGCGTGGTCTGGGCACAGGGAATCACACCTATAATCCCAGCACTTCGGGAGGCTGAGGTGGGTAGATCACTTGAAGGCAGGAGTTTGAGACTAGCCTGGCCAATGTGACGAAACCTCACCTCTACTAAAAATACAATAAAATTAGCCGGGTGTGGTGATGCGCACCTGTAATCCCAGCTACTTGTGAGGCTGAAGCAGGAGAATCGCTTGAATCCGGGAGGCGGAGGTGTAGTGGGCTGAGACTGTGCCACTGCATTCTAGCTTGGGTGACAGAGCAAGACTCTGTACCCCTCCCCACAAAAAAAGCATTTAGCATAGTGGCTGCTGGCAGGGTCAGAGCTTGATAATTGACATCCCTCCTCTTCCTTTTCATCATCTTCCCTCACACCTTGGGATGGATATGTGTCAGAGCAATTGGAATTCAATTCACATTGTGGTCACAGACTCAAAAGAGTAGGTGGGGCAAGTCCTGGGGCCAGAACGCAGCGGGGAATGCAGGGGGAATGCAGGGGGAATGCAGGGGGATCTCAGGGAAGTGCTGGCAGTGGATAGAGGCCGGGAGGGGTTCTGGGCAGGCAGATGGAGTCAGTGAAGGTGGAGAGGCTGGAATGATTCTGAAGACCAGGGCCCAATGGGGAGGCTGCTGGGCAGGAAGAGGGCTCTGCCTTTGATTGGGGGGTACTTTTTCCTCACCCTCACGAGCTCCTGACACATTTCTCATCTTGTTCTCCAGCCTCCCACTGTGGGTCCAGGAGTCCTTTGGGAACCCAGTTGTGGAGTCCCCACAGCACCCAGGAGTGAGGTTCAAGGCTCCATTGCTCTCAGAGAAGCCATCTGAGGCGGTGGGCAGAGTGAGGGTGATGGGCCGACACAGGCCGTGAGGGCTTCCTGATGAGGCCCTCATGCATCACTGAGCTGGGCCCATCGAGCTGGAATCCTCTGCTGGGCTGGGTGGCCCTGAGCACCAGGCAGGACCATCCATCATCAGAGGGGAAAATTGCTCAGGGAGTCAGCAGGACACAGCCAGATGTGTGCCTCTGGGCTCCGTCACAATGAACACGCCCTTTCAGGCCATTCATCAACGTTAGCGATAGCGCTTCTATTTTTTCCCCCTTTTGCTTCAGTCAAGGCAACTGTCTTTTAATGAAGACAAATGCAAAGCGATGAGTGTCTTGGTAAACAACAGGGTCACGGGACAGGACTCCTTCAGGGCCACGAAAATCCTGGATGGTGCTGGGTTTGGAGAAATGTTTTAGAGAACAAAGCCAAGTGTCGAAGCCTCCAGGGGGCTGTGCTGCTGCCTCCTGCCCTGAGGAAGCTCCACCTGCAGCCTCTAGAGCAGCAGCAACAGGACCACGTGCTGTTCCCTGCACATGCACTGGGCACCCGGCACCTCACCCCAGCCTACTGAGGAAGGCAAATCGTCATGCCGTTTGACAGCTGAGGAAACTGAGGCTCAGAGTGGTTAAGTGAGATGCCCCGACAGCGGCTCCAGGTGGGATGTGGGCACAGCTGTGTTTCCACCTTCAGAAGCGCCGGCAGTGGGGTTTGCTGTTTGAGTGGCCAGCCTCTTAGGGAGGCCTGGGTCAAATGTTAACTCCACCCTTACTAGGTGGGTGACCTTGAACCTCTTGCTTAACCTCTCCATGCCTCTGGATTTCTGAGTAATGAAACTCTCCACGTCCAAGAGCTGCTTGAAGATTGAATGAGTGAATTGCTGCAGAAGCAGCGGTGTATGTGAGTTGTGCTCGGGAACATTTTTTTTAAGTAGCCCCTGTAAGGCTGGCATTATGATCGCAGCCTGGGGTGCTGGACTTGTGCAGGGGCAGCCTCTGAAAGCTCGTGGTTGTGTCCTCTCTCCTGGGGAGGGCACTGGCCGCTGCTGATTGGCGTGGAGGATGGCACGCCCACACTCTATTGGTCTCTGTGAACTGGCTGGTGTCTGAGACCCATGGAGGGTGCTTTTCTTGAACCCATTGCTGCCCCAGGACCTGTGGCCTTGCTGGGTAATGCTGGCTTAAAATGTGTCTCCCATCCAGACATCTGACTTGCACTCATCTCTCATGCATTGATATGCATGCCCAACCGGTCAATTGTTGAAGCTTCTGGAATGTTCCAAACAGTGTTAGAGGCATTGCTTCTATGTGTTAAAATACCTTATTGCAAAAACCCTGACAGTGGCCAGGGTACCCCGCTTGGTACCCTTGATAGTGGCAGATTTAAAAAAATGCTGAGTCCAAGGAAAGGTGGGGCCCTGCCTAAGAAGAACAGAAGCAGCAATGTCTGCCTTTTGACTCCTGGCCCAGTGGTCTCTCTGTCACACCCTCGACCCTTTCAGTGTTCTTCCATTCTCTCTGCCCACCCCACAGCTGGAGAGAACACCGTCTCTCCTCCATGGGGGCCATTATGATGAAATGTCCAGCACCCACCTTCCTTTCCATTGAGCAGCAGCCATGCCATTGGGAGATGGATCTCCGACTCTAAGGGTGGGCTCTGGTTGGCCTCAACCAACTACATGATCCCTTCCATCCTCTGCCAGTGTGGGCTTAGAATTCTAGGCAAAGACCATGCCCCTGACACTCCTCAGGGAACAAAAGTGACTTCACCTAAAAGCAAAGTCCAGACCTTGTCTAAGAGGAATAGACACAACAACGTTGTGTTTTGACTCTTGGCCCAGGGGTCATGTGCCCGGTCCCCTCTGCTTCAACTGTCACACATACTCCTACTTGCTTGCCTGTCAGTCTCTGCGATTGACAGGGATGGGCTCAAGGTCAGGGACTGTGTCTCCTCATCCTTGGCTCCAGCTTCACACAGACCCTGGCACAGGGCAGCAGGTGCCCGGTCAACAGCCTCCTATGGGAGGTTGAGGTGGGGGTTGATCAAGATGCCGTGGACAGGGCTATGGACCAGGAAGGGTGGGATGGGCTGGCTTGTTTGGCATCAAGCAGAGTGGGGTCAAAATCCTTCCCAAGAAAAATGAGAAAGAAAAATAAAACTTTAACCCCCGCAAGTGACTGAACGGACCCCCTCTTGACCAAGGGGACCCCAGAGAAATCTTGAAAAGTGAGTTTCTGGCCATGGCAGGATGGGAGGTTGCATGCACCCTGTGGTGCCCTGTTCCTTGATAACCTCCACTAGACTTTCTTCCCTAAGAGCTAAACAGAAGCCGGCCTTTTCAAAAGACTCCATGCTGATTTCAACCAACTGCTCCACCCTTTTACGGTTTTGACACAAAAACCCACCAGCATTCTTTCTTGATAAGAGACCACCAGTCATGGAGCAGTTCTAGCCAGTCTGCAGAGGATGCACAGTGAGGGTTTTCATGCCCCCTGCTTCCCCTTTGATGTCAGAGGGCTGAAAATTCCACCCTCCGATCACACTAAGGCCAACACTTTTTTGTACACGGGGCCCATAAGAGGCATGAAGCTCAGCTGTGCATGCACATGTTTCTCCTTTCATAAATACACATGACTCCCCCACAGCTTATTGAATATGTATATTTGGCCACGGTGCTCAGCATACATTTCAATTCCCTTTGCCTCTTCCTCAAAGTATCAGTCTCTGGCTTCTGGCCAGAGGCCATGTTTCCCGGCCTGTTGGAATGGCCACCCTGCAGGCTGTAATCTTTATGAGAAATAAAGCTCCCCTTTCCAAATTAACACCACCACCACCCTGCTCTTTCCCCCACTAGCTGCATGACCCTGGCTAGGAAATGACTTCTTCCCTGAGTGTCTCAGCGTTGATGGAATAGGTCATCCCTGGTTGTCTGAAGGTCAGAGTCCCCTGTTTATTGGGGACCCTCTGGGTGTCAGGTAGCGCACTGCACTAAGCATTCACAAGCAACACCTTACTGAACCTCCCACAAAGCAGGTACCAGCCCCATTTTACAGACAAGAAGCTGAGGTCCAGAGGGGTTCAGGTCCTCGCCACAGTAGGTGGGTGGTGGAGCTGGGACTTCGCAGCCTGACCACGCCCCGGGGTGGCAGTACTGGGCTGTGGGTGGAGAGCAGTGAGCTCCTGTGCCACAATCCCACAATCCCCAGAGCTGGTGAGTACATGCAGGCCCCTCCCCTCTTTGCCCCCACTGATCCAGGAGGTCTGACGGGCCCCGAGAAAGCGACTGTTTTCCAAGCTCCCTGCTCCTCCCCGCCCCACAATGCTGATGCAGGGGTCCAAGGGGTGCATTTCCAGAAACACTGCTCAGGCAGTGCTGTCTACAAACCCCCAGCTGAGAGCTCAGGCATAGGAGGTGAGGGATAATAGCATGAATAGAATTCTACTAACAAAGGAGCAGAGCCTCTACACAGTGCCAGGCAGCGTTCTAAACGCTTTCATTCATATAATTTTCACAACGATTTTCCAAGGTAGTGATTATTATTGGCCCTATTTTACAGGTGAGGAAATGAGGTACAGAAAGCTTAAATAACTTGCCCATTGCCCTACAACTGGTAACAGCTGGTTAGCCAACTCATAATCATAATCATAATAATTTTAAGATCTTTCCCCTGTATCCACCTGCATCAGACACTCTCCTGGGGTGTGGGGAAGGGGTACCCTGGGAGCTTTTACTCAGGGAAGTAGAGATGTGTGTGGCTAATACCAGGGAGCCAGAGAGGTTCGGCTGTCCCCAAGTCTGTCCTAGAGATGGAGAGATTAGGATGCTGGTTTTGCCCTGAGCCCCCACCAGTTTTCTAGCTGCACATCTTGGCTGTGAGTGCCAGGAAGAAGATTGGTGGGCAGTGCCAGCTGAAGCTCCCGGGTAGGTGGGTCAGGGCTCCCACTTGCTGGGTTCAGTTTCCCTTCCCGTGTCCGGGGCCCCAACAGGACGCTTGGGGGCTCCTACCTTCTTCCCCTGGGCTGCTCCCATGGCACGAGGTGGCACCAGGCCTGGGTGGGCTGCAGGGACCAGGCTGGGGTCCTTCCTGCTGGCGTGGATCTCAGGAGCCAGGACCTGAGGGGCTCCCGGGGCCAGGGCCCCCTGTCCTCTTGTGGCTCATTCTCCCCGGCACAAAGGCGGCTTTCACAGCTGCTCCTAAGCCCAGAGCGCCTCAGACAGGCTTAGGGCGATTGATCCTGACAGAGGGGCCAGTGTCCCCAGGCGGCTCCCATGCCTTTCTTGGGTCCCTGCAGCTCCTCACCTCCCAGAACGCTGCGTCTCTCAGGAAGGGAAACTAAGGCAGCTGGGAAAGGGGGGAAGACGCGAGGCAGTCCTCTCATCACACACCGGTAGCTCAGGTGCGGCGGGTGACCTCTGGCTGGCCCTTGCTAGGCACTGCTCAGCAGACAGGGCCAGACAGGGAAGGCCGAGGGCTGGCTGAGGTGCAGAGCTCTGGGACGGCTGCGTGGGGATGTCAGCCTCGGCTGGACAGCCCCATTAATAATAGACCTTTGAAGACTCTTGGGGTCTGGGGCTCTCCCACAGCAGGAACTCTGAGAGCAGACGCCTGGGCAGCAGGCTGCCTGGGAGGGCTGGAGGTCAGCTGGTCTGGGCTCAGGCCAAGAAAATAGCTGAAGGCTGGATTCCAGGCCTGGGGCCAAGTTCTCAAAGTGCCCCCGGCAATCACCCTCCTCCTCATTTGCCAGCCCCTTCCTTCTCTGTGATGCCAGCTTGTAGCAGAGGTTAAGCCTGAAAAAACCTTAGGCTTGAACTGTGGCTCTGCCCCTGACAGCTGTGTGGCCTTGGGGGCACGGGGTGTGTGTGTGTGTGTGTGTGCGCGCGCACGAGCGTATGTGATAAGCACTCCCACTGCACATGGCTAAATGAAGTAAGGTGTGTGTGTGCAGCTGAAGCTATCATTTTGTGTAAGCATAAATCAGAGCATGTCACTCCCTGTTTGTTTGTTTGTTTGTTTGTTTGTTTTTGAGATGGAGTCTCATTCTGTCACCCAGGCTGGAGTGTAGTGGCACAATCTCGGCTCACTGCAACCTCCGCCTCCCAGGTTTAAGTGATTCTCCTGCCTCAGCATCCCGAGTAGCTGGGAATACAGGTGTGTGCCACCAAACCCAGTTGATTTTTGTATTTTTAGTAGAAACGAGGTTTCACCATATTGGCCAGGCTGGTCTTGAACTCCTGACCTCACGATCTGCCTGCCTTGGCCTCGCAAAGTGCTGGGATTACAAATGTGAGCCACTGTGTTTGGCCATCACTCCCTGTTTTATAATCTGTCGCTTCACTAAAGGTGGGTAACAGTTGCCCCCACTGCCTGGGGCTGTGAGGGTAAGCAGAGCATCTAGCGAACAATTCCTCAGCGAAGTTAGGTGCTGCTGTTAAGAACACAAATGATAAGTCCATTGCCCACTGGAAAGTCCCGGCTAACCAGTTCACTAAGCACAACGCCCTTTCCCCAGAGGTGGGCGGGTCGGGAAACCTTGCCACTCTTTCCTTTCCTCTAGCGCGGTGCCTGGCACACACACAGATGCCTCATGGAACCGTAGCTGGAGGGTCAAGAATTAGGCATTCTGTCCAGCCTTGCCAACAGAACAAAAGCCCCCAGGTCCACAAGGTCTGACAAATGGCCTTGCTAGGACCTCAGTTCCTTCTCCTCCCTCTCCCTGGCAGCTTCTGGGTCACAGCACCTTTCCCCTTCCCAGGGCCTTTGCACTTGCTACTCTTTCTGCGTGGGATGTTTCCTCCCCAACTTCCCCTCTGCTCCTCATATTTCATATTTTGATATTTGCATGATTCTCTCCTTTTTATCTCTCAGGCTCCTCAGAGAAGCTTTCTCTGACACCTTCTGCACAGTAGTTCCCAGGCTCTCTGTTTATTACTTTGTCGCAGCACTCATCAGTGACAAAATGATATGACTTCTGTGTCGATTGTCTCCTCTGCCTGGAATGGCAGTTCCACAAAGGCCAGGGCCTGGTCTGTCCTGCTCCTCAGTTTCCCCCCTGGGTCTAGAGCAATATTAGTGGAAGAATACATGATGGAGGATTAAATGAAGTAGTCTAAGCTGATCGAGTGCTTAGCACAGTCCCGGCTCATCACAAGTGCTCGCTGCACGGCACTTCTTAGTACTGTTGTTACTGAAGTTACCGTATTTCCTCCAGTGCCCATGACCCTTCCAGCCAAGCAAACACGTGGCTACTTCCTTCTGCCCCTTCCCTTGGGTTCAGCCCCTGCCTTCCTCGGCTGCTCCGCACTCCTTTTCTCCCTGTTCCAATTGTGGCCTGATTACACTTTTGGATTTCCTGCAGAAAAGAGAAAGTCCACAAAATTATAAAGGGAAATGACTCAATTGGCTGTCAGATGGAGCAGTAAGAATGCTCTAAGTCAATGTGGAAGATCAAACTCCTTTGGCAGCCATCCCGTAATTATCCACCAGCTTGACTCTTGGTGGGGTAGGAGGAGAGAGAATGAATTTTACACATTTATTAATTTTTTTCCATCTGCTTGGAGTCCTGCTGAAGTATGGCTTAGTGCTGTGGTGAAAGCCTGACTGATTGGCTGATGGAGCCTGTGACTGGGCTCTGAAGCCCGGCCCCTGGCAGGATCATGGCCCAAAATGCAACCTTCAGGCCTCATGGCATGGGCAGGAGGGATGGGGTGGAGGCTCAGGGCCCAGCACCATGCCCGGCACAGAGGCAGTACTTGGAATATGTGAACAGTTGATTTATGGAGTGACAGCTGGTGGTGAAGGACCAAGGAGCAGGTGTTCTAGACCCAGCTTTGTCCCATCTCACTGTGGGCTGGGGACATCCCTCAGCCTCTCTTTCTCCATCTGCACAATGAGAGCAAACATCTGTTCCTTCTTGACCCACAAGCTAATAGAAGGAAGTAAGGCTTACAAAATGTGAGGGGGGCTTTGGGCTTTAAAAAGAGGAGTTCTGAATCCCTTGAACCCGGTTCCTCTGCACCTCTTCCAAAGCAATGAAGGCAAGTGCTGGGAATGCTAACTCTGAGGTTCTGTGCAATCTTCAAAAGGCTTCAGAGGCATTTAGGAGCAGGTGGAGGAGGGGAGGAGGGGAGGAGGGGGAAGAGGGGAGGAGGGGGAAGAGGGGGAGGAAGGCGGAGGGGGAGGAGAAGAGGAGGAGGACAGGAGAAACACTACCTGAGAGGTTTAGGGCAAACATATCTGTTTCATGTAATGTTGGAGACAGACTGGAATTCCAGCCCTTATTCTGAGACTCCTTGTCTATGTGACTTTGGACAAGTCACTTGACCTCTCTGAGCCTCATCTTCCTCCCATGTAAAAGAAGATAACAATGGTTCCCATCCCGTGAATGTGGGGGCTATGAGGATGAAATGAGGTAATTCATGTAAACCTCTGAGCAGAACGTCTGGAAAACTGCAGTGCTCTGTAGAAGTGAGTTGCTGCATTTGCTACACTATGGGCAAGGCTGAAGATAAGTCCACTATCCATTGGGAAGGCCCGGATAATGAGTTCATTAGGCACAACAGCCTTTCCCAAGAGGTGGGTGGGAGGGGAGACCTTGCCACCCTTCCCTTTCTAGCTTGTGCCGCCACCTACTGGCGAGCACCAGAATTACAGCTTCTGGAAAGCTCTTCCTGTGGCCCCACCCCTCATAGCCCTACCCTCACTCCTGGGTGGGTGGGAGGCACACTGGCAGGGAGTGGGGAGGCAAATCCAAGCCTCCAGTTCTGAGGCCACGATTAGCTTGCAGAGATTCCTGAAGGCTTGTCGACCTCAGTGAGAAAATGAGTCGGAAGACTTATCCATTTCACTTTCTGATGATCCCCAGGAGAGGCCCCTGGTCCGGGCCACCACCCTCTCTCTCTCCCTGGATGATACAGCAGCCTCCTCACTGGCCTCCCTTCCTCCACTCCTTCACACAGCAGCAAGGAATTTTCAAAATATGTAGATTTTGTCACCTTGCTCCCAGTGTGTCCCCTGCCCTTGGGACAAAGTCCAAGCCCTCTACCCAGCTCACAAGGCCCCTCGGGCTCTCACCTCCCAGTCAGCCCTGTCATGCACCCTCTGCCCCTTCCAAATCTTGTTCGTGATGTTCCCTGGCCTGACATGCTCTTCCCTCCCTTCTTTGCCTATCGAGCTCCTACATGCTCCCAAAGGCTCAGCATGGGTGGTGCTTCCTCCAGGATGCCTTCCTGGATCCCCCAAGGCTGGGGCAAGGGTCCGGCAGTCTTTCCACTTGCCAAGCCATGTCCCCTCTGGACTTACATCTCCTGCTAAACAGCAGGAATGGTGCTGGGTTTTCTTCACTGCAGTATCCCCAAGCCTATTGGGTTCCTGATACATAGCAGGTGAGTCATAACTGCTTGCTGAGTGATCCCCAGGTGACTTCCTGCTGATAAAGACCCAACTCTCTACAGCTTGAGCTGAACTGGGGGTCCCTATAATGGCCACAATGTCCTGAAAATGATATTGAGAGTCTAACGGGTGTTTGCCACTTTTGTAACACCCGCCCCTGGGGGCGCCTAGTGTGGCTGGCTGAAGAATGCAGTCAGCCTGCTTAGTGGGTTGTGGGGCTACTTGAGCTTCTCTTTTGGCTTATTCTGGGCATCTGAGGATGTGTCCCCTGAGGCCTACACCTTGTCAAGGAGGGGGAGGTGGGAGGGGGGGCATGATTGCTAATCTCCGCCTCGTGTGGAACAGCACGTGGCCTCTTCCATGGGCTCCACGTGGCAGTGGCAAGTGCAGCTCCCCCACTCTGAGCTCTTTCTCCTTGAACACGGACACCTTTTATGACAACAATTCCTGCAGACCTGGAGGTCTCATCTCCCAGCCCAATCCCATCCAGCTGGCTGTGCCCACCACCTCTCTTACAATGGGCCCCCTAGGATCCCACTTTGGGATAGGGATTGTCACCCAGGTGATTTGTTAAGAACTGGCCCCTGGGCACACTGGTAAGGAAGTGGAGGTGCAGGATGGGGAAGGGGAAGGAGGCAAGCAAAAAGGGACACTTTCAGGCCAAGTCCCAGCTCCCGCCTGATCCCTCTGGGAATGTCGGAGTGTAAACTGCACCTCATGGTCATCATGCCCCAAGACAAGGAGCTGGCCTTTCACATTCTCACAGCCGCCAGTCGTCAGCTAAGGAGCATCCTGCGGTGGGTTACACGTTCAGAGCCTCCCAGCCTGTCTTCTTTGCACTTGTGCTCAAAGAAGGTATGAGTAGCCTAAGGGCACTGCTCCAAAGAAGAGTTCAGACTGACCATTAGCAGCAAAATCTGGGAAAGGGATCTGGGACTCGTCCCTGCATTCTCTGAGCCAGTTGACATGTTTTCAATCTTCTTTGAAGTGTTGTGCAGTGCAGTTTCTGGAAAAGTCCATGTGTCTTCTCTTCAACCAGGCAGCCACCCCATGTCTTCTTAAAATAGTGGCCGCTGCCAAGAGGCCTCTTGGCTTCCTGTAGGCTTGTCTACCTCAGTGACAAGCCCTGACCCTGGCCATGAGCTCCCTTTAGAAGTCTTTATTTGTTCTTTAAACATGTTAAAAGGTACTCTTGCTTGTTGTAAGGTGAAATTTCCAAAATCTCAAAGGTGTTTACGGTCACAATGAAAATTTCCTGCCACCTTCATTCCCAGAGCAGGTTTCTGGCCATGTTTCTCCAGGTAGTCTACTGAGGTGGTTGGAAGTGGTTATTCAGGGATGCCTGCAGGTGTCTCCTTTCATTCCTGAGGGTGAGCTGGGCTGGGGAGGGCCAGGGAGTGATGGAATTGACTGGATGTCCGGATGGGCCCCTTCTGACTTCCTCAGCCAACCCTGAGCATGGCTCTCGCCAGGCTTTGGGCCTTTAATTTTTTTTGTTTTTTTTGAGATAGAGTCTTGCTCTGTCGCCCCGGCTGGAGTGCAGTGATGTATCTCGACTCACCATAACCTCTGCCTCCCAGTTTCAAATGATTCTTTTGCCTCAGCCTCCCCAGTAGCTGGGATTACAGGTGAGTGCCCAGCTAATTTTTGTATGTTGGCCAGGCTGGTCTTGAACTCCTAGCCTCAGGTGATCCTCCTGCCTTGGCCTCCCAAAGTGCTGGGATTACAGGTGTGAGCCACCACACCTGGCCTGGACCTCAATTTTGGTATCACTGCAACTGTAGCCCATGTCCCAGCTGCCGTGGCCCCTGGTGGAAGATTCCCACACACTATCCTCTCTACCCCAGGCTATCTTGGCACATTTGAAGCTCTCCCAGGACTTGGGAGCTGCATGTCCCAGGCCACTGGTGGACATCTGTGCTTGGGCAGAGGGCTTCTTCTCCAGGAGGTGCAGTGTCCCCAGCACATGCTCTTGGAGGCTGAGTAGCAATGTTTTCTGCCCCCATGACTCCCTTTAAAGACTTAGTCTAGAGCCTGGGAACTGGGCCCTTCTCAGAGACCTCAGGCAGGTCTTGGCACCATATCCCTTTGCCTTTCCATTTCAATGTGCTTCTGCAGCCTGCCAGCAGCTGGCATTGCCCTCTCTTAGCTGGGGGCTGGCTGTGAAGCCACGGAGGGCCATTCTTCCCTAGGCAGGGCAGACAAGAAGCACCTAGGAATTCACATCATCCCTGACATCAGAAGCCCTCAACAAACCACTGGTGGGAGTTGGTGTGTAAATACCCCAGCTCCCTCACTCTGGGATGGAGTATCTCCAAGGTGCTGGGTTCTTCCCTGATTCCTAGAGCTTAGGGTGGGAGTCAGCTCCAGTTCCCACTGGGATGGCTGGGTTGAAACCACACCCTTCACTGGCTGCCTTCCCCTCCTTCCCTTTCCATCTCTCTTCTCTACTTCCCTATTGGTGTTTTCCATGATCACCTCCCAAATATACTGGCTGCCCTTGAGTCCTTGCCTCAGGGTTCACTCCTGGGGAGGAGACGGCCTGGCTGCCTTCCCTGAAGCCCGCAGCACAGCCCGGCTGCTCCTTCCAGCTGGTTTCAGACCTGCCCCCTCTCCCCTCTCCCTCTCTTGCTCTGGACTTGCTCCAGCTCTCCTTCAGACAGCGGGTGATGACAGTACTCCTGGTTTCCTATCCCTGGGCTCCCTCTGTTCCCGTCCATCTCACATGTCCTGCAGGAACCGAGGATTCTCTCAGGCCCACGGGAAATCCCAGAAACACAGCTCCCTCCCAGCTGCCTAAGGGGGAGCCTGAAGTTGTCACCAACCTGTCCAAACCTGTGGCCCACGCTGAGTCTGGAGCAGTTCAGTCCCAGGGAGAAACATGGCCACTTGAGTGATCAGAAAGTTCACTGAAAACCAGCAAAAATAAAATTTAATTGGGCTCAATTGTGGGCAGTCAGTCCTTCCTTAGACAGGCCGTCAGCAGTCGCTGACGAAAGCACTCTATTCTCTCCACAGACAGCTGGTTCCGGAAGGACCCTCTGAGGCTGGTCTCCTAGGTGGGATGTGCTGTGGGAGGGTTCTGCTTCCGAGGGGGGGAAGCGCGACACAGCGCACAAGGACCAACAGACAGCGCCTTCCACGGGGCACCCTCTGCTCCTCCTCCTCGGCGCCTGCTGGGCTCTGACCCCTAAGTCAGGCAGGAGCTTCTTCAGGCCCCCAAGCACAAGAAGAGCCACAGTCACCCTAAAATGGCTTTGGGGGCACGCAGCCCTCCATCTCCAGCAGCTCTGGCCATCCCTCGTATTTGTTGGTGTTTGGGTTGTTCTTTAAGAACTGGAGAGAGAAGACAGAGAAATATAGACGGTGAGTGAGGCCCTTTAGAACACACACCCGCATGGGCACTGAACTCTAAACCTAAATGGGGGTGTGGGATGTTATTAACCCACTTCACAGATAGGGAAATTGAGGCTCAGAGCAGGGATGCAACTTGCTCAAGGTCTCTGAGATGGGATCAGAGCCCAGTTACTGCTATCACACCATGAAGGGTAACCAGTTGTTGGAATGATCTAGCCCGTCCTCCTAAATTTTCTGTGTCCCTCTAGGATACCTCAAATAACAGTAATACTAGCAAAAATAAAAAGAAGACTCCTAGCATGTCTTGAGTGCTTGCTGTATGCCAGGAGCTGTTCTGCAGTGCCTTATGCATTTAATTTGCACAGTGGCCCTAGGGAGTGTGCATTGTTTACATCCCATTCTCCAGATGGAGAAACTGAGGCACAGAGGGTCACCACCTGTAGTCACTGGCCGGTAAGTGGCAGAACCACAATGTAATATTAATCAATACTAATAATAAAGGGTGGGGTGCAGTGGCTCACACCTATCATCCCAGCACTTTGGGAGGCTAAGGAAGGAGGGTCACTTGAGGCCAGGATTTCAAGGGCCAGCCTGGGCAACATAGAGAGAATGTCTGTCTCTACAAACATAAAAAAATTAGCTGAGTGTGGTGGTGCATGCCTGTGGTCCCAGCTACTCAGGAGGCTGAGGCAGGAGGATCTCTTGAGCCCAGCAGGTCGAGGCTGCAGTGAGCCAAGATTGCACCACTGCCCTCCAGCCTGCATGACAGAGCCAGACCCTGTCTCAAAACATATCCATACTAGTAATAAGTATATAAGAGAATACAATCACTTAGGATTGTGTCTAAAATGCTCAGGATTCGTTTATGAAGAAAAAAATGTAAATGGCAAAATTTGCTGTTAGGGTCATCGTGGCTGACTCTCGGGAATTAAAAAAGAGATTCTAGACGCTGCCCATCTAAAACCCAGTTTCCCAGGTGTGGGCACAGAGAACAGATTGGCTTAGTCCCATCAGGGTGCTTGGTTCATTTTGGGGTGCTGGGTCCCAGCCAGCTGGTGGCTGATGGGTGCGGGTGGTGCTGGGTTCCCCTCACTCCTGCACCTCCTCTGACTTGCTGGTTCCCCTGGGTCTGGAGTCCACACTTCGGGGCAGAACACCACCACCTGCCTGTGCAGCCTCAGGCCTCTTGCTAGGGCTCTGCCCCAGCATCCCCATAGGACATTCGGGACCCCCCCACCCTGCCCCTCACCTCCTGTGTTCTTCACTGCGTTCAGGTAATTTCTAGTTACCTGAATAATTCTCTTAGAAACACGCGCATACAGACCAAGCCCACATTTTCTAGCTTAGAAATCCCCATCGTGGTGCCCTCCCTGGAGCTCAGCACACAGTTGCCCGCTCCTGCCCACTCTGGCGCCTCTTGTCTGATGATGGCATCGGTCCCCTCCCACTTCTGAGTTCCCTCCTAGTATTCTCCATGCCCAGCCAGGGAGGCTGAAGGGACAGGGATAGGCATCCTGCCCCTTTCCCCAGCTCCCCTTCCCCATCACACAGCCTCCCTGTCTCCACTTCCTTCTTGTTCCTCCACGCCTCACTTACCCATCATCCCTCTGTTCTCCTTTTCCCTTTTCATTTTCTGGTACTTACCCATATACCTGGCTATTTTTTTTTTGAGACGGAGTTTCGCTCTTGTTACCCAGGCTGGAGTGCAATGGCGCAATCTCGGCTCACCACAACCTCTGCCTCCTGGGTTCAGGCAATTCTCCTGCCTCAGCCTCCTGAGTAGCTGGGATTACAGGCACACGCCACCGTGCCCAGCTAATTTTTTTGTATTTTTAGTAGAGGCGGGGTTTCACCATGTTGACCAGGATGGTCTCGATCTCTCGCGATCCAGCCGCCTCAGCCTCCCAAAGTGCTGGGATTACAGGCTTGAGCCACCGCGCCCGGCCATACCTGGCTATTTTTATATGACCCACCTTTTGCAAAATGGCCAAGACAGCTTCCTGCCAGGGGCTAGCCAATCAGACCACGCTGACCTTTGGAGTGAATGACAACCAGGGGCCTCTCCCCAGACAGTCCCACTTTTAAGGCCCTTGGTGGGTGACTGGGTGACTGTCCTTCCTACCACCACCCAGCTCCTTGTCCATCCTTCACAGGGCCGGGTTGTGGCCCAGAACCCACCTGCTCAAAGGGGCTTTTATCCCTGAGGTCTTTGGCTCCTACGAAGACCCAGCTGTCCCGGAAGCCCAGGTGTTTTGCGTAGGAACTTCCTAGGTTGGTGAAGAGTTCCCTGGCTTCATCATTCATTCTGCAGAGTACCAGAGAGGACGATCAGGTGCAGGGATGGGTTGAGGGGGCATTAGGTGGTGGGATTCCCATGAGGCGAGGTTCCTACTCTTCTTCCCATTCAGTGTCTTCCCTGGAGGTGCCCAGAGAATGTGGCTGCACTCAGGAAGGACAGGTTAGAGGGGTTCAAGACTCCCTCTCTAAAAGGGCCTCAGATGGGGCTGGAGACGTGTTAAAACAGTACCACTCTGTTTACAAATACAATACATGTTCATCTGGAAGACATGGAGCATCACAAAGAAGTAACTAAGATCCCAGCACTTTGGGAGGCTGAGGCGGGTGGATCACGAGGTCAACAGATCGAGACCATCTTGGTCAACATGGTGAAACCCCGTCTCTACTAAAATTACAAAAAATTAGCTGGGCACGGTGGTGCGTGCCTGTAATCCCAGCTGCTCGGGAGGCTGAGGCAGGAGAATTGCCTGAACCCAGGAGGCGGAGATTGTGGTGAGCCGAGATCGTGTCATTGCACTCCAGCCTGGGTAGCAAGAGCGAAACTCCGTCTCAAAAAAAAAAAAAAAAAAAAAGAAGTAACTAAGAAATTCTGTCTCACCCCTCCTTCCCTTGACCTGATCAGTGTATCTATTTTGATGTAGTGTCTTTCCCCTCACTAGTACTAGAGGGTGAGCGTGTTTTCCACATCCTTAACTACTTTCTGCACCATCGTTTTTGGTGAGTCTATCTTCATCTGTGTATACATCACATCCTGTGTCACCATATGTCATAGTTTCTGTAGCCATTCAGCCATTATTACTGGACAGGGGGCATGTTTCCAGTTTTTCACGGTGGTAATGGAGGCTGTGATGAACCTCCTAGAACATTTCTTTGCATTCTTGTTTGATAATTTCCTCAAGATAAGTTGCCAGAAGATGGTGCTGGCAAGAGAGCAGAAGACATGCAGGGTTTGGAGGTGTTCAGCTCACATCGCTGCACGGCCCAGCGGGTAGAGTTTTTCACTTACTTGGTCCCTGGGTCGTCATAGGAGGCCACCAGCACCAGTGCACCCTCTGGAATTTCTTTAAGGAATTTCACCAGGTGCTTAACATCTGGGGGAAGAAGGAAAAGGCGGTGCTGGTGATTTAGGGGAAATGAGCCCTGGTCATTCTCATGTTTGTCTATTGCCCTATGATGCAGGAGCCAGCTGGGTCCTGCAGACACTGGGCTGGGCTCAGAAGCCAGGAGGAGGAACATCCCGGGTGGAGCCCCCTGTAGCCCTTGTCCTAGGGGAGGGCACAGTGAGCAGAGTGAGGGGGACTCACCCAAGTGATCTGGGGTGGCTTCTGGACACTGGAACTTAAAATTTCCCCAGGTGACTGCGATGTGCAGCTGAGGGTGAACACCACTGGTAGAAGGGCCTTGTGTGCCTATGCCTCAGGGGACCAAGTGCCATCATCTCTCAGGTGCTCTGGGCCCTTTGCATACTCCAGACCCCAGTCTATACTGGACAGTGCCCGGATTATCTGTGCTGACTTTAGATGGTGTAGCATGTGGCCTCGAACAACTGAGATCCCTGGGAGAGAACTCGAGTCTACTATTAATACAGCTCTCCTGCTGTGTCAAGGAGCAAGGCTCTGCGTGTGTCTTTAACGCCTCCCTAACTTGCCAAGCTCTCTATTTAACAGACAGCAGCTCTAGGTTTAGCACTTGTGGGAGGCATCAGCACCCAGCTCCCTGTGAAGAGGCTAATTTGTTTTCATTGTGATTATTTTTATGGTCACCTTTCCTGCATAATGAGTGATAATGTCTTTCCACTTAAGGCAGTGATCCAGTTTCAAGATCTATTTACTTAGGTAAGAAAAACAGTGACACAATTTAAAGGAAAATATGAATAATGCAGATGTTATTCTAGGTATGGTACAACCTGAGGGGGCTGAAGTTTGGGAACAAACAGCCTAGTGGTTAAAGCAGAGACTATATCTGTCAAATGAGGCTGAGTAATAGCCCTGCTCATAGTATCTTCATAAAGTGCAAATGTGACAATGACCTTGGGGATACAGTAAGTCTACTCTAGTGGAACCAAAAATTATTAGCAGGATTGGCTGCATGACTTGCAGGGCCTAGTGCAGAATGAAAATCAGGGCCTTCTAATAAAAAATTATTAAGTATTTCAAGACCATGATGGCAGAACATCAAGTCAAGTGTGCGATTCTTCTAAGCACGGGCCCTGTGTGACTGCCCTGTCTCCACATCACAGGCCCGCAGAGCTGGCCTTGATTAGTATTCCAGTTCCGACCCCTAGGACCTTGGGGAAGAAGCCACTGCCCCAGCTAAGACCAGCTGCCAGCCAGCTCGGTAACAGCGGTTTCCAGTCAACCACCACAGTCACTCTTCTAAGGAAATGGCCCTTGAGCTTTTATGAGGGAGGGAGCCCTTAAAGCACCGTTAATTTGTGTTGTTAGCAGATATTATGCTCTGGCTCTTGCCTGGGTGGACGGTGGGTATTTGGAGAAAATAAAGCGTGCCTTCTGCTAATGATCACCTCACTTTAAAAAGCCACCATCTCCTTTTGTTTCCTGAAGGAAAGGGCTGCTTGTCACAATGCTTCTGTTTCTGGATCCCCATCAGCCATGGCTGATGTTTATAACAAGGCATTTTAAAGCTTAGTTTCGTCTTAAAACTTTTTTCCTTTTCACTCTGACAGATGATCTCCTTGCTTCTGAGTCATCTGGATGGAATGAGGGAAGGGGGAAGGGAAGGGGAAGAGGAGGGAAGGAGAGGACTAAACTAGCTTGCTTGGGTCCCCCGACTAGGCAGGCTGGACACCCTTCCACCAGTCATTTCAGGTTATCTAATCCACACATCAGTTGTATGGAGTGGAGACTATGGCTGCCTCTATGTTACAGATTAAGAAACTGAGGCTCAAGAGGCACCACGTGCATCAGGTCATGCCGTCGGAAATCTCTGACTCTGGAGACTGGACCTTTTTCATAAAGCTGGCCCCAGGCCGTGCTGAACAACAGCAACACCCGGGGTAGGATGTCTGGTCCTCAGCCCATGGCCTGTCCCCATCTCCTGCTACCCGGTCCCCAGCTCTATCCTGTACCAGGAGGGACCCTGCACACTGCACGTGGAAATGCCAGTGTGCCTGTCCAAGCTCCATCCACACCACCCTCCTGTCAAGCAACAGCCAGCCTCTGGTCACCCCTCCGTCCTGGGGAGTGTCTGAAGCCTGGGGGCGGGGCACACCTGGGAAGAGGCCTGCATGGGCCCTGATACAGGCTCCAGGTCAGCACATCCCTGGCTCTGTGGACTCCTCACCCATGAGCTGGCCAGAGCTGGAGGAGGGCTGGGTGGGGCCTTATGAAGCCCTGGATCCAGGACAGGGTCCCAGCTGCCCATCTCTGAGAATGGATCTGCAGATCATGTCCCCAGTGTTCCCCACCTCCTACCTTTCAGCCTCTTCCTTTTTTTGCAAAGCTGAGAGGACTCCTGCCTTTGGCTGCCTGGTAACTCTCACCCCTCCTGGATTCATGTGTGTAGGTGAGTGTAGGCAAGGTGGGCTTGCCCTAGAGGTTGAGACAAGGGCAGGGGAATTCAGGAGACAGAAAACCCAGCTGTTTGGCAGCAGCTTGGCCCCTTCTGCTCTGTGAGGGGCACTCTGGGGTCTGTGGTCACACACGCTGTACATCCCAGGATGGCGGAGCACAGAGATGCCCTGTGGTCTCAGGGATACAGAAGGGAAATTGCATCCACCTGGGCTCTGACACCCTCTCTGATGGAAACCAGTCTCTGCAGGGCCCAGGTCTATGCTGCCTGCTGCTTTGTCACTCCTTGTTGAGCCTCCTGTGTTGGAGGGAGGCGGGGTAAGCAGCTGGGCAACACCGGTGGCAGACAGCCTGAAATTGATCCTGCTATGTTTTGAAAGCTGTTGGGAATGTTGGGTCAGGGTTCCACCACTGCCCATAAGTGGCTGGTTGGCAAGGAGGCTGCTGGTGGGAACTTAGATGCCCGGGATTTCAGCACAGCTAGGTCAGTGGCCTGTCTTGCCCAGCCATGCTAAAGGCAAGGAAGGCAGTGACTTGCTAAGGGGCAGCTGTGTGCACAGAGAAACCATATGTGGGTACAGAGAGAAGACAGGCGTCTGCCAAAAGATGCGGAGAGCTCAGATTCTAAGGTCCAGAAAGGAGCCCCGTCCTGTCCTTGGGTCCACAAGAGATCCCTGTGACTTTGAAATAAGTACCTTTACCTCGCAGAGCTTGAGTGTGTATGGCCGACGGGCCACACGCCCTCATCCATAGCACTGCAGTGACATCAACAATAGCATTGCTTTGCCTCAAGGTCTTCTCCAGCCTCCAGAGTTCACTTTGCCCCGAGGGCAGGCCAGAAGTGCATGCCAAGGAATTAGAGGCATGGACACCCCGGTCCCTTTGCTTCTCTGGTAGATCTCTGGGGCATGTATTCCATACTGGCTCCAGGGTTCCAAGTTTGATTAAATGGCTCAGTAATGTATTCCGCACTGGCTTCCTGCCTGTCGCTGTCTGCTCCCCACTCCCCTACCGACATTTCCTGAGTTCACCTCTTAAATAAGCATTGCTCTTGAATCCCTGTCTTAGAATCTGAGTCTGGGACATCCCACCTGAGACGGCCGGAAGGAGTTTCGAAAGCAGCAGGAGACCCTCAATCCCCCACCGCACCTCTTTCTGGGTGCCTCCCGTGGAAATGAGTACCAGGTACCTCGAGCCACCAGCTCCCTTGCCACATGAAGACGCTCAGCCCTCTGCACTGCACCCCCCCCCACAGTGACATCAGTGTCAGCAGAGGCGCCTACCTCCAGAGTACATGTCAAATGCCCTCTGACTCAGCACCGCTCCCGTGGTTCCTAGGGGTTAAGAGGAGAACGATTATCCCCTGTAATGCGTGTCCTTCTGCTGAAAATGGCTAATCCGTAGTCTAAGATCCAAAAACAGAATAAGAATCTAATGAAATCAGGTCCTACAGAGAACATGCAGGACTCAAGTAGGTGCCCAGGGATATCTGGGCTCATCTGAGAGGTTCAGAACATAATGGCTGAGGGTGTCTCTGGAATCGAATTGAGTCTACCCAGTCTGGGTCTGTGTTCTGTCCTGCCACTTCCTAACGCAGGACTTAGCATTTCGACCTCAATTTTGCATCTGTACAATGGGTTGTGGGAGCAAAATGAGATACATTAAAAATATTAATAGTAGTCATACAAGATGAATTTTAGTTGCAAAATCAAAATCAAAATGACAATCGTCATAATTATTCCCACCTAAATAGAAAATCCACAACTGGAGTCCTCTAATTCTTGAAGGCAAAGGGATTTGTGTTGGGCTTAGCAGTACTCAGCTTCCCAGGGTCCGGTAACCTGGGTTGCGTTGGTGAGTTTTGTGGGAGGAGGCGGCCAAAGGCCAAGCCCTCAGGGGAACGGGGTCTTCGGGAGGAACGTTGCAGTTCGCACTCTCCGTCACTAGATGGCGGTGTTGCAGAGGGGATGGCAGCTCCGAGGCTTCAGGAGGAGGGTGGGGATCAGGCCTGGGGAGTGCCGCTGTCCAGGCGGGCAGGCTTGCCTAGCAGCCCCTCCAGGATTCTAGGGAGCCACGGAGTGTCCACGGAACGCTTCACCTGGGGCCCGTGGAAGGAGTCTATGGACGCATGAAGCTGCTCTTATGATCGCGTGCGCTTGTGAGTGAGTGTTTCTGCAATTGGAGTGTAGTGGGGGTGGGGGTAGCAGCCAGCATAGCTTGAAGATCCCAAGGAATCTCTGCCCACTAAAGGTTAAAGACTACTGGACCCTTAGCAATCCTTGTGTTGCTCTGGGTCATGCAGATGAGGACCCTGAGCCCCTGACGTGATTTGTTGGGCTTCCCCACAGCTGGCATACCCAGCATGTATGTATACAGTAGGTGCTGTATACATGGTTGAGACATTTCCAGTCTAGGGAGGTAGTTCAGCTGAATGACTAAGACCTGGAGTTAACTCAATCCAGGTTCAAATGTAGGTGGTTTTCTAGGCTGTGAGACCTTGCTTAACCTCTTTTTTTTTTTTTTTTTTTTTTTTTTTTTTTTTTTTTTTTTTTTTTTGAGGCAGGGTCTCTCTGTTGCCCAGGCTGGAGTGCAGTGGTGTAAGCTTGGCTCACTACAGCCTCGACCTCTCAGGCTCAAGCAATCCTCCCACTTCTGCCTCCTGACTAGCTGGGACTACAGGTGTGTGCCACCACACCCAGATAAATTTTTAAATTTTTTTGTAGAGAAGGAGGCGGGTTGTGGGGTTCACCTTTACTCAGGCTGGTTTTGAACTCCTGAGCTCAAGCAATCCGCCCACCTCTGCCTCTCAAAGTGCTAGGATTACTGGCATGAGCCACTGCACCCAGCCTGCTTAACCTCTTTGGGCCTTGGTTTCTTACCTGGGAAATGGGGATATTGAGCATAGCTCCATCCTGGCACAGTGATGGGCTTAAGTGAAAAAGCACAGTAAGTGCCCAGTAAATGCTAGTGCTTATTGCCATTGATGGTTATTTTAATCCTTTTGGCTTTGTGAGAGGCAGGGAAAGAGGTCTAGTCTGGGGCTATCTCACTGGAGAATATTCGAAAAGCTTATCTCAGGTGGGGCCCATTTAGGGGAGAAACTCAGCAGATTTCATCCAGGTCAGCTGCAGCCTGAGCCATTTCCTGCCCACTTCCACTGTGGGGTGAGGGCAGATGGGTGGGAGTGTTGATGTAAGCTGAGGCTCCTACAGTCTTCTGGGGTCTGGCACAAACACAAAAGACCAGCCTGGGCATGCCCTCCCTGCAGCCCCCGCCATCCCTGTAGCCACTTTGCTGAGGCTGGAGTGGAACAGGCCTGGGCCCTCCACAAAACCCCTCCTGCTTCTCCCTGCCCCAGCCCTTCCTGGGCTCCTAGGAAGCTGGCCAGGGTGGTCCGCTGACTCCCGTCTGTCCAGGAACAGCCCCATCACTGCTCCAGGCCTCAGCTTCTCCCCAACCCAGCAGGGTTTCTTGACAGAGCGGGGAAAAGGCTTCCTATGGAGCAAATTGCAGGGGCTTGGGGCTGGCAAGGCCAGGGCTTGCCATTCCTAAGTGTGCTTTTGTGGTCCTGCCACACACAAGATCAACAGCTTCCTTCCTGAGCATCCCTTCACCTTTTCCCTCAGCTGCCCTGACCTTGGTCCCAGAAGTGGCCCTTACAGCCAGGGAATGGCCCTTGCTTTCTAAGAACAGAGGCTGAGAGGAGGTCTTGGCTGGGGCCAGACCACCTAGTCCTTACCTGACCCTGTAAGTGCCCTCCCTCCTAAAACGTGTCCCTCCTTCAGGCTTGGCAGCCCTCTGGCCTCCAGTGTAAGTGTGTGTCCTGCAGGAGATGCTGGCTTATCAAGGCCATGTATTCCCTGGAGGGAGGATTCTGGAATGCAGGGCTGGCCCCTCATGCCCTGCTCCAAGCTGTTCCATGGCTCCCTACTGCTCTCGGCTTCCAGTCACACTTCTTAGCAGGGTTGCTAGCTCCTCATCCTCTGGCCTTCTACTCTCCCCAGCCTCGCCTCTCCATGTTGCCCTGAAAACCTCTCTCCCTCCCTCTCCTTTCCTCCTTCCTGCACTGTGCTCCTCTTCCTGGAAGGAGGCTTCCCTGCTTTTCTCCTGGCCAGCGCCTATAATCTTTGAGGCCTCAGCTGGCCATCACTTACCACTGGAAGACTCCTCTGAGCTACCCTGGGTCCGTCCCTTGCTCTGTATTCCCGTAGCTGTGCTTCCTGCTCCCATCAGAGAGGCTCACCACATTGACATTGTTTGTGAGCTTCACAGATACCTACAGGGGCTGAGCCAGGGCCTTTCTAGTTCACGGCTGACTCCAGTGTCCTGTTCAGGGCCTGGCCCACAGTGGCTGCTGCCTGCATTCGTTGAATGAGTGAATGAATGAATGAAAGTGTATACTCTGCACGCGATCTTGCACTGTCATTGGTTGTCCCCACATCCTCATGCGTGTTGGTTTGAGTGGGGTGGCTTTGAGGAGGGGGTCATGTTTCATTCACGTTCCATAGCAGAACGGTGTCCTCCTAAGCTAGGAGCACGTGGCAGGGGCCTAGCTAGTACTGTGGTTCTACAGTGTTGCAGATCTTTGAGACCTTCTGTTCCCCCAGGCCAGCCACGCCCCCACTGTCCTGAGCTCTACCTGCCACGAAGTAGGAGCTGATCCACTGTTGGTTGAATGAACATGCTGCTACCCCTACCCTCCCCAGCGCTGGGTGGGAACTGCTTGGGGGATGGATCTGCAACTCACCATTCACCAGGGCGATGTTCAGGCCTCTGCCCACGTTGTTTTTCACAGGACTCATGATCCTGAAGACAATGAAGAAGAAATGACACTCATTCCTGAGCATGGAATGAACACTCTGCTGTCTCGACTGGGGAACTCAGAGAGGGCCCACATAAGCAATGCGGAAGCATCGGGAAACATAGAATCACTGAGGCCATCTGTTTTCTCTTGAAAACTAGTGGTGGGCTGGATTCTCTGAAGAGTTTCTCAAGGCGTGTTGGACCAGAACAGCCTTCTCAGAGAAAAGGCGAGGTTCCTGCCTGGGCCTCTGAGGTGTTGGGGGCAGGGCCAGCCTACCCCCAGGCTGTGAGGCCTGGCTGCTGGGAAGAGGCCAAACCCCAAAGGTTACTGCCACCCTGGGGTGTCAGTCCTCACATGGCTCAGCTGTGTTCCTGCTGGCCCAGCATCTACACCCCTGTCTACAGGTGTGTTTGTGCCGCAGGAGAACTGTCTTTCTCTACACACAGGCCAGGTGGTTCCTGGGATTGACTTCTCTCTGCCAGGTTTGGACAAGCAGAGCATCCTGTGTTCCCAGCTACAGTTACTGGCTGATATGGTTTGGCTGTGTCCCCACCCAAATCTCATCTTGAATTCCCACATGTTGTGTGAGGGACCTGGTGGGAGGTAATTGAATCATGGGGGCAGGTCTTTCCCGTGCTGTTCTTGTGATAGTCTCATGAGATTTGATGGTTTTATAAAGAGGCGTTCCCCTGCACAAGCTCTCTCTTGCCTGCTGCCATCCAGGTAAGATGTGATTGCTCCTCCCTTGCCTTTCACCATGATTGTGAGGCTTCCCCAGCCACGTGGAACTGTAAGTCCACTAATCTCGTTTTCCTGTTTAAATTACCTAGTTTCGGGTCTTTATCAGCAGCATGAAATCAGACTAATGCACTGGGCTAGGCATGGTCATGTGAACCGGGCCAGTCAATGAAACACAGGCTTGTGTTTTTGCAGGAATAATTTAGACAGGAAGGCTCTTTTCCCATTAGGGTGCTAGGCTGGGCTAATATGTCAAACCAGCTGGTGGTCTCTCTCCTTAATCACATGGAGAAATCCCTTGCAAGTAGAAAAGAAAGCAAAGCTACTTGACAATGGATGGTAGAGCTGAAGATGGGGTGAGAGACAGCCCTGATGGTTTGAATCCCTGGATCCAGCTGGTCCTGAAGCCTGCCTACCACCTCTGGTCTTTTAGGTATGTGAACCCATCAGTTCCTTGTTTTCCCTAAACAAACGGTGGTTAGGTTCAGAATCCTGGCTTAAACACCCATCTCTGAGTTCTTTCATAGGATGCACTTGGTGTCCTGGGGCCTTTACTCTCTAAGTTGGATGAGGAGTACACAGCCTTTCTCCCATACTGGGGTGGAAGCCCCGGTGCCTGCTACATCTGGGCTTTGACGCCTGGGTCAGGATCTTGAACCTTCTTTGCAGGCATCTCCTTTCATGGGAAGCCCGGTAACTTGGCTGTTAGACCTGAGGTCAAATCCTGTCCCTGCCACTGGACAGATGACTCTGTCTGCACCCCACTGCCCTCATCTTTACAACAGGGGCAATAGCCCCACCTCCCAGGATGTTGGGAGAGTGAATGAGAAATACTGTGAAGCACTTGGCAAGGTGCTGGCAGATGCGGGAGCTGTTCGAATTATTATTATCTGTGGCTCACACACCCAGAGAAAAAGGGAAGCTGTGGGCTGGTCTCACAGGCCAGCTCCTGCAGCCTCAGAATTTTTTAAATGAATAAATAAAAGAATAAAGTAAAATAAAATAAACATAGTTTCCCTCAGGTACTTACATGTGGTTTTCAAAGCACATAGTAGGGCCCACGACGTTGGCAGCTCCGCTGCCGATTTTAAACGCAAAGTGGTTGGCTGGGCAGGGCTTGATAAGGCCACATTTGTGCTTCATGACCTCTGGGGAGGAAACAGACCAGCCTTGATGGGCAGCAGCTCAGGAGGTGCTTGGGGGAGGAAGACAGGAGGGCCAGGGCTAGGGCCAGGGAGCAGCTTGGAACGAAGCTCAGAGCCTCTTTCTTGGGGAGCCTTCGCTGACTGCAAAGTCTGGGAAAGGTGCCTTTCTGTGCTCCACGGTGCCCCAACGGCCCCCAGCAGAGCACACAGGACCAGCCCAGAATTAATTTTTGAGCTTCTCATCATAGCTCCAGCCCCAGAAGAGCACCCTGGGTAAACGTAACCAGAGTAAACCTGAGTCACTATGACAAAGGGACTCTCCTGAAAACCTCTCATTTGGGCCACGGCAGCCTTCTGAGTCCCCAGAGCCCCCTGTTGAGAACTCCCAGGGGCCCTGGTGGGGTGGGTTGGAGCATATTTCTCTAGCCATGTTCCCCTGGGCAAGTCCTCAACATCCTTGCACCTCATCTTATCTGCAAAATGGAACATCTGTGGTGCCTCCCCCACTGGGTTCTTGTGAGGAATACATGAGTGTGGTTTAATGCTCAGTATATGCGGGCTCTTGTTCTTCTCATCATTCATTCATGTATCACTCATTTCCTGAGTATCTACTATGTGCCTGACGCTGGGATACAACAGAGAACAGGCAGGTGGTTCTGGTTCTCCCACTGGGAGCTTAGCACGGTGTTGGGAGCCCACTGGACACTCAGTAAATGGCACCTCTGGTGATGCTGTCTGTTTCTAAGACCTGTATCTTCTCTATGCAGCCTTCACAGGGCAAACTGGGGAGGTCCATGACTGGGGGAGATGCCGGTGGGACCTCAAGATGTGGCTGGGCAGCTGAGCCCTCAATGTGCTCAACAAGAGAGGGGACGACATCTGCACTTGCAGCCTGGCACGTTCTAATTCATCCTAATATGTGCTTTTTAGCACCAGCTGACGGTTTGGGAGGAAGCATTTGGGATGATTGGGTAAACATGGATTTGGAGAATGCTTACCTGCAAAGGGAAAGCGGGGGTTGTGCAGCCTTTCCCTCCCCAGCCCCTGTACCAGGCGTCTGGCTAAGGGCTGCCAGTGTGTGCTTTGGAGCAAAGCTGCAGGCTCCTTAAGGAAGCTCGCATTCGCCAAGGCCTTGCTGCATGCAGGGCACTGGGGCCAGGATCTTATGTTTATTATCTTGTTGACTCATCCTGATGACTCCTGTGCCTGGCACATAGGAGGCACTGGATAATCTTCATGCATAACATGTACAGCATTTGGGCCAGGATGCACCTGAGGCTGGAAGGGACCATGTGGTTTCCAGGGCCCTCCCTGGTCTACTGGAGGGGCACAACCCACTGGTGCCAGGCTTGGTGAGCACCTTTGAATAGGTAAACGTGCCCTTTCTAGGAGCAAATGCAGCCCACACCAGGGAAACCTGCTGGCTTGGGTTCCCTCTGCTGAACAGGCAACCCTGAGGATCTGAGAGGAAATGCCTGTCCGGGGCTCCCCTTTCCTCATCTCAGCACATACACCTGATGGGCGGGACTGACCTCAAACCACAACATTGTCATTCAGAGAGCAGGCAGGGGCAGAGGCATCTGTGAAGGGCTGTTCAGGAGAGAGTGGGCATCTAAGCTTGTGGCTTAGGGGAGAGAGGTCTGGGCTGGGAGTGGACCAGCTCCCCTTCCCCTTCTTCTGGGCAGGATCCCTGTGAAGGGGCTCACCCCCATCTATGACTGGCTGAGGAGCAATGCTGGGGAGGGAAGCCAGGGCACGGCTCCTGGTCTCCAACAGCCTTGGGGTCCCATCTCCAGCCACATGTGTCTTTCACCCAGAGGGTCTCACCTATGCAGGGAGATCATTCCCAGCCCTGGGGACCACTTCTGGAGTTTGCCCAGAGCCTAATCAATTGCAGCAAAGTCTGATAAACCTGATGTCAACAGGCTGGCTTAAGCAGGCTTTTCCGGAATTGATTTTCTGACCATCCAGCCTTCATAGTCACGCTGCTAGATGAAGGAGATGAGGCCAAGGGGGCCTCAGCCTCTGGGAGGCAGGAGGTTGCTCTCTGGGTTCTGGCTTAGAAGCCATCAGCTGCCTCAGTCCCTGACGCCTGACCCCCCTGGGAACCCTTGTGCTGTTGCTCAGGGCATGGAACTGGTGTGCTACCAAAAGTACTGGGGCAGCAGTGCACTCAGGAAATAGGCTGCTCTTTCATTTATCTGCTCTGTGGCTTGACAGAAATTGCTCCCTTTATCTTTGCCAACTGTGAAATCAGGGAGTTGGTTTAGATCAGGGTTGTCAAACAGCTTTCCTCTTAAATGTCAATGTGGACCTCCTGTTAAAGACTTAATGATAAAGCTCTCAAGGCTGCCTATGGAGTTGGAGGGAAAGAACACTGGGATTGATTGGTGATGTCTGCCATGGGAGCAGACAGGGTGGAAGGCAGCGTGTGTGCTTGAATCTGCCATCCCCCCAGCAGGTGATGTCTAAGTGTTTGATAGCAACAAGATGCTATGACACTGTGTCCACTTCCGAATATGACTAAGGAGGCTTCAGGGAGTGAGGGTTAAGGGTGTGGGGTGAATGATTTGTGTTACTTCATATTGTCTTTGCTTTCTGTAATCTCACAGTGCACTGGGGCACCCATGCCCTTCTTAGTCAGGTAAAATCCTATTTTGGGAGCCACAGCTCTCTTCAGAGTCACCTCCATGTTGAGAAGGAAATGGAGAGGGCCTGGTGGTGTTGCCTCTTGCAAACAGGGGTTGAGGGGGTGGGCTCTGGAACAGATGGTGGAGGAGATTTAACTCCTGCCTTATGGCTTACAGCTGTGTGATCTTGGCCAAGAGATTTCGCTGCTTGGTGCCTTAGTTTCCTTACATATAAAAGGGGCTAATTATAGCACCAACATAGGGTTGTATGTAGGATTGCATGGGATGCTTGTGACGTTCTGAATCCAGTGTCTGGCAAATAGCAGGCACTCAATCATCATTACTATTGCCATCATCACGGCTCTCCCTCTGCTTCCCTGTCCCTGACTCTCTAGTCAAGGCCTTCACTGGAGCGTTCTTGCCTCTAGGCCTTTGAAGAGAGGTCACCGCCTTCCCTGATCGCCCCTCCTGGAGCCCAGAGCCCTTTCTCCACTTCTCTTGTCAAGTCTGGCATTTCTACCCCAACAGACAATCAGCATCCACGTCTGTTTGTCTCTGGAGTCGCTGTAGTGCCTGACATGGTCTCTGGCACTTTGTTGCAGGAACCCTGAGCCAAGCCTGGGGTCACTGCAATAGGGTTGGGGAGCACTGGCCAGGCCCTTGGGCTCCCAGCTGTGTGGGGTTGTTAGAGAGGGGAGGCAGGCACAGGGTGAGGTCCAGACTGCAGCAGGGGGACTGGAGAAGGGGCAGAGTTGAACTGTGTCCCTACAGTCCAAATGGCTGAGAGGGGGCCAACCCTGCCACAGGGCTTAGGGGTTTCAGAAGGCACCACTGGGCCATGGGAGGAGAGGATTGGGAAGAATCTGGAAGCCCGGGTTTCTCTGGGACCTGCAGGGCTCGGAGCAGGGGCCCTGGGCCTTCTTGCCATAGAACAAATGGGAGCAGGAGGTGAGTGAATGAGGTGGGGGGAGTGTGGAGCTGCACAGATACTCACGGGTCTCCTTGGTGGATGAGCCTGTTGGAGAGAAGACAGAATCTGGTTAGAGGAAAAGCACTTCAGACACCCCTGCAGGATGGAGGTTGGGGGCTGGGGAGTGGGAAGATGGGGCTTTAAATTGGCACTATTGGAATAAACTAAAAGTCCTTTGCCACTGTCAACCCTTCACACACATGTACATACACACAGCACACATATACACATGCACACACATGCACACAGATATATGTGACACTCATGTATGCATACAGACACACATATGTGCACACACAGACATGAGTATACTCACACATCTGGACATGCAGACATACACATGTGTGTGCATATATACACATACACACGTACAAGATACACACACAACTCACCCTTGGTTAAAAAGAAGCTGGGCTGTTTGAGACCCATTGGAGTTTATGCCCTAGCTCCTCATATATGGCCTCATGAGGTGTTTAACCTTCCTGGGCCTCAGTTTCCTTGACAGCACATGGAGACCATCTCAGCCACCCTCACGGGGCTATGGAGGGGGCCCAGTGAGATCACTCTGTGAGGGCCAAGCCGGGTGCCTGGCTCCTGGGCCCCAGTGAAGGGTAGAGTTGTGCTGCTGTGGGTGTTTAGCCCATATTGGGGCATCTCTTTCCCGACTGCCTGCAGTGCATACCGTCTGCACTGGCTCTAGGGTCCTTGGCCACTTCCTGACATCTTATTCCATGCCCTACTTGTTTCTGTGGTTCTACGTCATATCTGCCACCATGCCAGCAGTGACACCTGGAGGATAGGGCCTCCACAGGGAGCAGAAATGCTAGGGGAAGAAGCTCTCCTTTTTTCGGGGAACTCCCAACACTTACACACTTTCCATTTGGTCCTCAGGGGCTGTCCATCCAGGAATGTTCCCACCCCTTGCCTCCAAGGCCTCAGGAGTGGCATGAGACCCAAGCTAGGCCAATGACAGTATTACATTTCTCTGGAGACGACCCTTTCCCCACTTCCCTCTGTTGATTTATAGCTGGGGGTGGAGAGAGGGAGAAAGAGAAAGCCAATGGAGAAGACAAGCCTCAGGGAGGAGCCATCATGCCTGCCTTAGAGAGAAAGCTGCCCATGGAATGAGGCCCTAACCTGCTGGGGTCAAGTAGCAACAGCAGAGGGATAGAGACATGGGAGGCTGGCTCTGGGGTCGGTCTCCTTCATGGGAGACTCCTGATTCAGTCACACCTGAAGCCATGAGATGCCCATAGTGGACCATCAAGACATCATGTTTTGTTGAAACCAGTTAAGAGTTGAGATGGTCACTCTCACCTGAAAGAACCCTGCCTCACTTTCCAGGCACCGGGGTTCTTAATCTGGTTTCTGTGCCATGGATCCCTTTGGTGGTTTGGAAAAGCCCATGAACTCCCCTCGGAATAAAATTATTCTCATTCCCCTTGAGACACTTATCACTTTATACTCCACCAGACTGTGTTATTAAATGCATAAAGAAAAACAGATTGGAAACCAATTCTACATCAATACAGTAGTAAAACCCAAAACCGAATTCGTGCTGTAGTAATCTATGTGCTTCTGTATCAGTGCATTAAATAATAAAACGAGGGTATGTGCGCCCAGGTTAGGAACCTCTGAAGTAAATGAAAATTACCCGCTCAGTGCTGAGACACAAGTAGCTTTTACTGGCCATCTTTCCCACTGGTTACATTTCTTGCCACTGTAAACATTTCTTGAGACTTGCCTCATATTAATGCACTTTCATTTTTCTACATGCTGTAATCAAGTCTGTTTGTTTCTCTGAGTCAGACCATCAGCAGGGCCATGTGTTCCTCATTTCAGGGTCCCTGGAGCCCAAAACAGGGTTCAAAACCTGGTAGTCACTTGATGATGGTTGGTTGGAGGTGTTGACTTGTCAAACCCCAGGTAGTTGAGTACTGAGAGGGAAATGATTACTGGAGTCTCTTTTCAATAACTGCCCCTCTCCCACCTCGGGCTGGGGCCCTCTTCTCTAGAGGACACCCTTAGCCTCCTACATTGACCTGGGTCCCTCACCTCTGAAATCACTAGTACAGCCACGTCACTGGCTAGTTTGTAAAAGCAGTGACCTGGGTATGGGGACATGGTGGCCAACAAACATCTATATAAACTTATAAATCATCCCAACAGGAGCTGTGGAACATGCGTGACAAGAAGTGAACAAGATAAGGATCACAGACGCTCCACTGTGGGGCCATGTTCAAGACCGAGCAACTGGTTTACTTGCTGCCTTAGGAAGCTGTGAGAGGCCTGGGTCACTAGATACTGAGGCTTGCTATGATGTCAGTGGAGGTGGTTCTTGGTCTTCAAGGGAGTGAATCCAGAGGTATAAATCCCTTCCCTTCACTTCTTCCTTAGATCAGAAAGGATTTGAATCTGAGAGACCTGAGTTCCCATTCTTGTTCTAATATCTTCAAGAGGAACTTGGCTGAGTTTTTAAATCTCCCTGAGCTTCTCTTTTCTCAGCCCACACGTGAAACCACATCAAGGATTGTGCTTGAGTCCATTCCACAACCACACCATAGATCACTCTGTGGGGTATTGGTGCAGGTTAAATGAGACTATGCATTAAAGCAGCTAGCATCCAGCATCCTTCCACCTGTCCATCCATTCATTCATTCATCTCTCCACCCATCCATCATCCATACACCATCTACCCACTCATCCTTTCTCCACCCACCCGCCCATCTACTCATCCCTCCATCTACCCATCCAACCATCTATTTATCTATCCACCCTCCCATCCAGCCATTCTTCACTCATCCATCCATTTATCCATCTCTCCATCTACCCATCCATTTATCTACTCATTCCTCCATCCACCCATCCGTCTATCTACTCATTCCTCCATCCACCCATCCTTCCATCTATTCATTCCTCCATCCACCCATCCATCTACCCACCCATTTACCCACCCATTCATCTGTTTTTTTTTTCCCACTCATTGAATGTTTACTAGAGACACATCTGCTCTGTGCCAGGTACTAGAGAGGTGGATGCACACAAAATAAATCCTTGTCTTCAGGAAGCTCACATTCTAGAGGCTGGGGACAGGCAACAACCAACGAAACATAAAAATGATAATGACAGATAATGATGGTGTTCTGAAGGAAGAAGGCTGACATGAGAGAAGCTAAGCTAACAGGAAGGGGTGCAACCTTAGCTGGGCAAACTTAGCTGAGCCTCAAAGGCTGAGAAGGAGCCAGGTGGGAGGTCGGTGGTGGGTGGGGGATCTGCATGAAGAGATCCAGGGAGAGGGAGCAGCAGGTGCAGGTGAAGACACTCAATACATGATTTTCTTTCTTCCTTTCCTCCCACTTCCCTTCCTTCTGTTCTTCCTCCCTCTTTCCTTCCTCCTTGGGGTCACGTCTCCAAAGTGGTCCTTGATGTTGGCACATGTGTTGCCCAGTGCCTTGCAATGCATCTCTGTTCCCCATGGACTTCACCCTTTCTGGAAGCCTGGGGATCCCCCCTCCCTGCAATGGCTGGGCTCCCAAAGGCAGGTGCACAGCTTGTCCTGGGTCACCTAAGGATGGAGGGAAGAATATTCTTCGGCCCCCAGGTCTGGTCTGCAGTTCCTGCCCCCAGCAGTGAGCCCCACTCACCTAGCCATCGCGGCAGACGGATGGTTTTTGTGCTGAAGCCCATGTAGTTTCGAATAACGATCCATGTGGTGACCGTGGCAAAGGTGAGGGCCAGGACGCGAAGTACACCTGCCAAGCAAGGGGATGCTGCCAGCAGACCACAGAGCCAGAACACATTGCAAGACCACATGTGAGTCCTTCCCGGATCCCCATGCTGTGGGCTCAGACCACATCCATGCTGGGGACCAGACCATGGGACCATGTGGTAAGACCACGTGTGAATCTGTGCAGTGGTTAGATGGTGAGATTGTGCTGCCAGTTCATGTGGTAACATTCCCCCAAGTCGGTTTCTTGGGAGACAAAGTTAAAAATGTACCTTCCTGGGCTCCATTTAGCCCTCCAGAGAGAGAGAGAGAATGTTTAGGATGAGGCCAGTACTCTGGACCTTTCTCTAGCCCCTTAAGGGGAGGCCTGAGAACTGCAGTGGAAGGGCAGGACTCTGGGAGGGATCCCTGGAACAGGAGTCAGGAAGGCCGTGGCCAGTGCTCAGGGCAGCTGGCAGTGCTGTGTGACTCTGAGCAGGAGCTCAGCCTCTCTGAGTTGGAGTCCTTCAGGCACAGAGCAGACATGGTAACGCCCTTGCCCCTGAGTTTCGTAGCAGGAATGCTGTAGTTGTCAAAAGTAGGCAGCCTCCAGGGTGGCTTGGGGGTGGGGCTGCCCCCACAGTTTCCATCAGTTCTCCCTCAAGGCCTCCACAAAAAACCGCAACCTGGACTTGCTGTGCAGCCTCCAGATAAGCCACAGATCCATCCCTGCCCCTGCCCCACAGCCAGCTTGCTTTCCGATTCCCTCATGTGATTACAGCCCCACACATGGGGATGAGCCATCTGGGGTTCCCTTTCTTTACAGGGACCAGAAAGTGGGCACCATTTCACATCCCTGCTGCTTTCTGAATCAGATCCACCCATCCTGCTCTTACCCTCGAGGCACAGGCCCAGCTGTGGCACCCCTCCCTCTGACCTTCCTGTCAGCATCTCCTCTGCTCCTCAGTTGTGAATTCAGCTCTAGAGCCTTGAACTAGTCTCTGACTATTCAGGTTGGGGAAAGGGCTGCTGGGTCCTGTGGGGTGATATGCAGCTCTGTGGGTATCCCTGGTCTTCAACGGCACAGCCTGGCTCTGGGCACCCAGAATTCCTCTTGGGTATCAGCTCACGTTCACACAGCACTTAATTTTGTGCCAGGCACTGTGTGACCAACTTTTGAATACATCATCTCGGTTCATTCTCTGAGTAATCCTATGTGCTGGATACTATTGATTATTCCCATTTTACAGATGAGGAAACTGTGAGGCAGTCACTTCCCCACTGTCACTTGGAGGTAAATGTCAAAAGTGATGGGTTTGAATCCAGAGAAGTAAGCTGAATTCAAAACCCTGTGCCCCTGACTCTTTACAGCAGTTCTGGAATGTAAATGAGGCAGGTGCATTTCCTGTTTGCTGCCTCAGTTTCCCTATATATACAAAGGGGGTACAGTATAAGGTTGTGGACTAGAAGGCCTTTGCCTTTCTTGTGCCCAGCCCTATGCTATAAAAATTCTAGAATAGCTCTACTTGAGGTAAATATTTTGTCTTTAATTTCCAGCCAGGCCAAGTGTTTCCAAGATGGGCACTCTCAATGATCTCAGCCACGTGGGGCCGCTGTGCAAAAGCTCCTCCTGCCCTTCAGCCTAGAGACAGGAAGTCACCTCTTCTACTCTTCCAGGCTCCCCCGGATTGCTTTCCTCCTGGAATTCTGGCCTAACCATTTGAGAACAGATACAGCCAAATCACTGTGAGCCCAGGATGGGTGGACACGGCTGACAGAAAAATGACTCCAAAAGCAATTTCAGAACCTACCTGACACTCTCATCTTGTCCAGGTGAAGGGTGGCTTGGGGTCAGCTTTCACCTAAGGAGAGAAGAAAATCCAATTGGAAACTGGCACCAGGTCTGCAAGTGAGCAAGCATGAAGGCGAGGGACAGGCACCTGTAACTGTGGAGAACATAATTCTTTCAGCTGGGTTCCTCACAACCTGCCATATGGACAGGAGGGCAATTTTCCTCCTTCTCTGTCTGCCTCCACCTCTCCTTCACTCTTGCCCCTAGAATTTTATATTCAATTCCCCACGTTTTTTTGAAGTGCAGAGATGAGAAAGTAGAGGAAGGGGTAGTCTGTAAGCCACTGTCTTTTGGAAGATTTGATGTATTCACTTATCCATCTATCCATTTTTTCATCCATCTGTTCACCCATCCATCCATCAATCTGTCAGTTGATTTATCCATCCATCCATCCATCCATCCATCCACCCAGCCATTCATCCATCCTCTAGCCATTCATTTTGCCACCCATCTATCTATCCTCTGTCTACCTGTCTATCTATCCTTCCATCCATCTATTTGGCCCTCCTTCCCTTCTTTCCTTCCTACCAGCTAGCCAAAAGATGTTGAGCTAGCTAGCTGCAGTGAAACCATCAGGGAGCAGAAGCCCAAGTGATCTTTGCTTATTGTGTGGAAATAAACTGTAATCAGAACTCACATATTACAGGTGATTTTGTGCCAGGTGTCATCTATGCATTATCTCTTGAATCCTCACAACCCCCATGCTAGAGATGAGTAAGCAAGACCCACCATGGCTAGGCACAGGGTTATTCAGCTTACAGGGGTAAGAGTCAGAATTTGGATGCAGGTTTCCAGCTGCTAACATTCCCTGACACCCCTCTTCCCCTGCCCCACTGGGGTCTCAATGCCAAGAATTTTTATCTCAAAGGAGGGTTGAAATCAAAGCTTCCTCCCTTATTCAGTTCTGGGCAGGTCAGGGTCATCCTTCTCCCCATCTCTCCCCTGTGTCACCTCCCAGTTGCTGGGCAGTAACCAGTAATTTGCAGCGTTGAAACCCCCAGGAGGTCTGTGGAGACTTAGGGGACAGAAGGCAGGGTTGGAGGTCTTTGGTCTCAGACTTCCCACACCAGCTCCAAGGCGGCAGGTAACCTTGTCTGACTGCAGTGACCTCTCCTGCAATGCTTCCTGCCCCCTCTCCACCCCAGAATCTTCTTTATCCTAAAAATCCAACTCAACAGATGTGATCTCCAAAGTCCAACTGCTGAAGGCTCTGACCTGAGACAAGAGATTGGGCTCACACCTGGCACAGCCCCCAACACCCTCTTCAAGCTTGGGCAAGTCTATTTGCCTCCTCGGCCCTCCCTGTGTGTACACCGAGAGGTGCTGGGGCCGGACCAGTCCTTGATGTTTAAGCAACAATAACAGCAGCAGCAACTGCAAAACCACATGTGAATTCTAACAGTCCTCCCATCGCCCTGATCCTACTCCTCTAGGGCCTACCAGTGAGAAAACCAAGCTGTCACCTGGCTCCACCCACAGAAAGACTGTGGAACTTTAACTTCCTGAAATTCAGATTACCAGCATTTTTTTTCCAGATAAAAAAAAGTATATGTGATCATGACTGTGCTTCGGATGCGACCTACAGTCCAGGAGCTTAGGTCCAAGATGAGACTCAAAAGACATTTGGGAGGAACCCCATGTTGGAGGAGCCAGGAGAGTCAGTGGCTGGACAGGATGGAAGGACAGGGACAGGGTCAGACAGATGGGATTGGATGGATAGACAGAGATGAATAGTCACAGAAGCTGTGCACAGAGCCATTCCAGTCTGGGACAGAGATGAAGGGGGAGAGGGAGAGAGAGAGGGAGAAGAAGAGGGAGAGGAAGACAGAGAGAAGGAGAAGAGGGAGACATAACAAGTACTTTTGATATGTACAGACAGAGATTCAGAGAGAAACACTCAGAGACAGATAGGGACAGAGACAGAGGATATGGGACACACACCTGGGCAAGGGGCTAGCCTCTTGCTGTCCTGTCTGTGCTGAGCAGGAAATCTGGCTTCAGGGCAGTGGGGTGGAGAGGGGCAGGGGCCAGCGGCCAGTCCCAGATAGGCTGTGAGGGCTCCCCAGGCTGCTCTTCCTCTGGGCTGAGTCTCTGGCTGCCCACCCAGTACCTGCAGGGCTCCTTGGTGTTCTGAGTGTCCAATCTGCTTGTCCTGGCAGCCTGTGGGTGTTCTGGAGCTGGGGCCCAGGACTGGCCTGCTGGGGTGGGGAGCGGGAAAGACACCCGGGGCAGGTACACAGGATGGAGCAAGAATCCATCTGTAGCCACTCAACCCCAAAACAGTGTGTTTTCTCCTTCCTGTTGGAGATTGTTCCAACCTGTTATTCAGGTTACAAAGTTGTCCAGCAAAGGAATGAGGAGAAAAGTTCTATTGCCCTGGATGCTTACCTAGCCAGTGTGGGTAAGTCAGCTTCGGGGTGGTGTGGCAGTGGAAGGGGAGGGGACATGACCAGGGGACAAGGTGGGGTTGGTGAAGGCATGAATCACTGCAAGCCACCCCATTCCTCCCACTGTCTGTCCTCGCTCTCCTTGGACCTCTCCCTCTGCCCTGCCCTTCCCCATAGCTCCCTTCTTATTTCTGGCTGCAGGTCAGCCGTGTGCGTAAGCCCCAAGCCTCTCATTTCACTGGCAGGCCTAAAATGCAGGGCATTGAGGAAGTGTTCCATGATCATTTGGAAGCTGAATGAACTGAATTCTTACATCATCCTGGAAGGTTAGAATGATTAAACCACCAGACAGAGAAGGAAGTTGAAGTTCAGGAAGGGCAAGTAACTTGTCTAAGCCCACACGGCCAGTTGTGGAGTTCATTTCTGAAGCATTCTCTGAGCATCCCTGGGAAGACTGGGGGAGACATGGTTGTAAGCAAGACAAGCTCTGGGGCAGCCCAGGCCTCTGCACATGCGAGTTCCTCTGTCTCAACACGGTTCTCCTACTTCTTTGTCTGGAGTACTCCGACTCATCCTTCAGGTCTCAGTGAAGAAATCACTTCTGGGAAGCCTTCCCTGACCCTTTGAGTCAACGTTCAACACCTACCTGTGGTCCTAGATGGGAGCACATCCATCACAGCAGCCCACCCTGTCATAAAGGGCTGGCCAATCAGGGCTTTGCAAGTTCCCTGTGATTGGTTCAGGAGTGAGCATGTGGCCCAAGCAAGACCAACCAGACTTTTCCCTGGAATTGATGTAAGGGAAACCGGGGAGAGAGAAGCACACTTCTCCCTGGAGGTGCTAAGCTAGATGCAATAAGTCTGGGGCTACTGGGGTCCCAGCCTCAACCATTACAGTGCATTCCTCCTGTGGTAGACATGTCCTGCCAGCAGATGCAAACACAGGGGCAGCACAGCTGGGGCAGCGCATGTGATCTTGGTCTTAAAATAATCCGGCAGTGAAAGGCTGTGGTATTGGGAAAAGAGGACGAATTTTTGGATCAGACAGACCTGGGTTAGCCACTTACTAGTTGTGTATTTTTTCGCACATCTCTCCAGCTTTGATTTCCTCCTTTGTGAAAGGAAGGTGATGCTATCTACCTGTTCTAGAAGGGGTGCTGGGCAGTGAGGCCACCTGTCTGGAAGGGGTTTTCCTGCCTGGCAGGGTCCACCTGTCTCTTCTCTGTTGACAGGCCCCATTCACTCTGCTGCCTCTCGCTAGCACACCTCCAGGGCAGGATTCCTATACGGATGTTTGTTCTTTCTGCAGACCCAAAATGCCATCACAGTCTGCTGGTCTGTGACATTTCTTAAAGGCCCTACAGGAGCAGGGATGTCAGCTCTTCCTGTCGCCTGCAGCCCTCTGTACACAGGGCCTTTCATCGCAACCATGATCTGTCCGAGAGCCAAGGTGGACAGAGAAAGGGAGACTGTCTCTCCAAGCTGGGAGGGTGGAGCAGTGCACCCTGGTGGAGAAATAAGTGGCTTTTTTTCCTGCTTAAATCCTGGCTCCTGGCCCTTCCCTGGCATTTTGTGAATCTATGAAGGCATCTTGTTAGCCTTCACAGTCAGCCCTGATTTTGAGGCCAGCTTCCCCGCCAGGCAGTGGCTTTGGAAGGCCTTCGTCATCCCTGGCCAGATGCTACCACCAAGGCACATAGAAGGTGTGCAGTAAATGTTGTTGGAAGGAAGGAAGTGGATTTCCATTTGGGAAAGAAAACTGGGGGGTAAAAAGCTAGATGCTTTTCCCTCTATCTAAATGACTTCTTTTTTTTCCCATCTCATTCTTAACATTTTTCTCGAAAGCAGAAGTCTGCCCAGAAGACATGCTCAGACTTTAGAACCTAACCAGCCTCTTCTAGAAATTCAGGTCCAGCTATTTTCCTCATTATCCTGGGAAATTCTGCAGACAGAATGTGGTCACCAGGGGAAGAGGGGTTCTGTCTGTTCTTCCATGGGCTTCTTTCTGTTCCACTCATCTCTACCAGCAACGCTGCTTGAGCAAGGATTCATTGCAGAGTGAATTCTGTGTGCAGGAGTGTGGAAGATGGAAACTCCACAGACGTAGTGACAGGGTCTGAGGGAGACAGACCCCAAAAGAACAAGGCAAGACTGAGATAGAGAGACAAACAGAATGAAAAAGGAACAGAGACACTCAGAGACTGGAAGTGACTGGCATATTAACAGACACACAGGCACACATGTAGGCATGCATGCACATGACCAGGGCACTGCCATGAATCCTGCCCTGAACCAGGGGGTGGGCGACTCTGCCCAGACCCAGTTGCCTCTTGCTGTGAGTCTCCCATCACCCCCAAAAGCCATCCTGAACATCCGCAATTGTGGCCCAGGCCTGTGTGAAGTAATCAAAGTAACCAGAGGTTCCCTTTCATCCTCTAAATGGTCCTTCTTGTAAATGCCCAGAATTTATGGGCAATTATTGATCATGTCATCAATACAGAGGGGGAGATAAACAGTGAATAAATCCATAAACAATAAGACTTGTGGTTTGAACAGTTTGTTCCAGTGACATTTATTTTGGAAGGAAATAAGTCCATTATTCCCATTATACCCTGTTTTAGTCTTATTTATTGGTGTTAATGGTTTTCTCCAGCTCTGGCCAATGGTAGAATTATTGGGCCAGTCAGAGCTGCATGGCAGGAAATGCAAGAAGATATGAAAAGGTGCAGGATTCTGAGGGGTTTTACTCCGTAAGTTCCTGGGGTGCTTCTCAGAATAACACAATAAACACCCCATGCCAGATACTGCCCCGAGACTCTGACTTATTTTAACTCATTTAATCTTACAACAGCTCAATGAAGAAGTAGGGGAAACTAAGGCACAGGGTCAAGTCTCATACTGGTGAAAGTCAAAGATAGAAAAGATTCCAGAAATACACCCAGGTGATGTGTGTCAGGAGACCACATTCTTAACCACTTTGCGCAACTCAAGGACAACTTGCAAAGGACCAGATAGTAAGTATTTTGGGCTTGGCAGGCCATATGTTCTGTTACAACTACTAACTCTGCCTTTGTAGGAGGAAAGCAGCCACAGACAATATATAAATGAATAAACGTGACTGTGTTCCAATAAAACTTTATTTATAAAAACATGTGGCTGGTTACATTTGACCCGTGGGCTGTTGTTTGCCCACCTCTGCCCTAGGTGTGGCCTCTTTTAGCTCCAGGGGGACTCGAGCCTCAGGTGTTCCCTTTGCTGAGCTTCAGCCTGCCTGCCCTTGGCTCAGTGCAGGTGATGGAGAGGGGAGGCTCCCTTGGGGTAAGAGTGAGTTTCTAAGAGTCTGTTCTTCCACCCGCATGCCTCTCACCCGCCAGTACCCTCCTCAGCCAGGTGGCTCCATGAGCTCTGCTCACTTGGCAGCGGTCAGCCACCTCTTCCTTGTCCTCAGATAGGTTTCAGGAAGACTTTCCTCCCATTCACCTGACAGATCATCCCCTGAAGGCACCATGCTCAGTACCTGGCACCTAGGTCACCCTTATTAAGTGGCCGCTCCAGTCACATTTGCACCCTGAGACTTTGCAGAGGCCTCGTGCGGCCTGGGAATTGGGTGTCTGGATAACATGGTGCTAAGAGTGAGGGCTTTGGTGCCTATCTAGGTCCTGCCATGGGATTGTGGACACAGGCCTCTCTCAGCCTCAGCTTCCTTTCACATGGCCATCACCACTTCTAATTTAGTGAAGACTAAAGGCCAGAATGCGCCCAAAACCCAGCACCTGGCACAGAGGAAGTGTGCCGTAAGCAGCAGTTGCTAATCAGGCCGGCTTTCCTGCGCTCTCCTTTGGAGATGCCCTTGTACCCTCCATCGCCCTTCTCAAAGAAGCAGAATAGGCTGAAGAAGAGGGTGTGCTCCACTTGGAAAATGGGTTCCTCCAGGTCCTAGCAGAGCAGCTGGAAAGAGAGGAAGCCATCTGGACAGGCACACAGCCCTTTCCCTTCCCTTCAGTGTCTGAGGGGATGGGAGAAATCTCAGGACACTGGACATCTTCAGGCCCATTAGCCCCAGAGGCCAGCTTGTGCCCACCCCAGCATTTCTCTTCACTGAGATCCTGGGCGTGTGTCTCCAGAGAGGGCTAACTGGATCAGGGTGGGGCTGCGTGGAGTATCAGGGTTCACCCTCTGGGCCTGCAGGCCTGCTGCTGGCCTGTCGGAATCAAGCATGAAGCATGAAGACATTCACCTCCCGCCCAGTGGGTAATTTATTTATTTCCGTCTGAGACAGCTGGGTCTTGACCTCTTTCATTAAGCAACGTGACGGCCTCCACAAGGAAGTCAGCAGTGGCTCGGGAAGCCATTATGGGATAAGTCTTGCCTAGGGAGGGGTGGGATCAGGAGATCTCACTGAAGAAGTGATCATCTTAATAACAATCACAATAATAATTCGAATACGTATTATTAGTATTCTGCCAGTACTAAGCCCTGGGTCTTTTCATTTAATTTTTCCAACAATCTTATTGGCAGATTCTTTTTCTTAACTCCATTTACCAGTGAGGAAGAGCTTTAGAGAGGTAAGTGGCTGGTCTAGCGTCACATAAGAATGACTTATGTGGTACTGCCATCTGTGACTTTGCTAGCTGTAGTTTAATGAAGTAGGGACGGTTGGAATCAGGGGGTGGTGGACATCTGTTCCCCCTTCTTTTGCTGACCACCCCAATTTTCCTTTGGAAATCAGCCTCTCCCTCCTATGCAGTTGGTGGGGGTGATCCCCTTCTCTGGCTCCAGGAGTGACCCTGTGGTCCTGGCCTAGCAGATGAGTTTGCTCTATCTCTGGATTGTAGAGATGGGGTCAGACATGGGCGGGTGGCCCAACCCAAGAAGGCCAGAGCCTTCCTAGCACGTTTTGTTTGTTCATTTTTGAGATGGAATCTCACCCTGTTGCCCAGGCTGGAGTGCAGTGGCCATCTCAGCTCACTGCAACCTCCACCTCCCAAGTTCAAGCGATTCTCCTGTCTTAGTGTACCACGTAGCTGGGACTACAGGCACCTGCTACCATGCCCAGCTAATTATTGTAGTTTTAGTAGGGACAGGGTTTCACCATGTTGGTCAGGCTGGTCTCAAACTCCTGAGCTCAAGTGATCTGCCTGCCTCGGCCTCCTGAAGTGCTGAGATTATAGGTATGAGCCACCATGCCCAGTCTCCTCCCAGCAGTTTTGAAGGACTTTCCAGCAGAGAGGAGCTGCCTTTTGGCTTGAGTGGCTGAGCTGAGATGACTCCAAACTGGAGATGTTATGTTTATCTTTGGGACCACGCGAGGACAGGCTGTCTGAGCACAGAACAGCATGGAGAAAAGGCTACCAGAGACAGACACACAGAGCTAGGGGTGTCATTTGAGCCCCTACATCTGCCTTCTTGAAGTCAGAATTATCTCTGGACTTTTCTGTGTATGTAAATACACGTCTTTTATTTGTTGGGCTGGTTTGAGTTGGTTTCTCTCATTTGCATACAGAAGAGTCCTACCTGATACATGATTTTCCCATTTCAAACTACAGTTACATCTGCAAAAAAGATGTGGATTATATTCCCACCTTCCTGAGGTTTGGACACTTCAGTCCTCATGAGGCCTAAAGAATCAGGGCAACTCTTGGCTTTTTCTCTGTCTTCAGCAACAACTTCCTTCCTGATGGCTTCCATACCAGAAGCCACATTGCTC